TCGCGCCTTGAAACAATCGCCCAAGCAGATCCCACCCCCCCCCTCCCTCCCTTCCTCTCTCTCTCTCTCTCTCTCCTGTTGACTGGGTCTATTTCCCCCCTTTGGCGGGGATGAATGTCCAGCAAATAGATGCCATGGGCGCGGGCTTGTCGATTGCTGCCCGCTCTTCGGATTGCTCATGGATGTGTGCATGCATTGGAATATTAAGAATGTATTGTACAGGCGCGCGCGTGTGTGTGTGTGTGTGCGCGCGCGCGCGCGCGGGTGGGAGAGCGCGACAAGGAGAGGATGCGCGCTTGAGGCCGGGGGAAGGGGGCAGGGAGGGGGAGGGCGTGTAATGTACAGGGCACCCCTGCCCTTGGCCGAGAGGGTTGACGACAGTCGCGCGAGGTAGGCCCATCTAATCGGAGTCCGAGTCGTCGGAGTCGGAGAGATCACCGTCGACATCCCTGTAGGTGCGAGGAAGCATATCCGGGGCGGTCAGCATACGATGTGGGGAGCGAGAATGATAGAAACATTGGGGGGGGGGACCCGGAACATGCGTGCGCGCACCAGCTGGAGAGACTCTTCTTGGCGGGAGGGGCGGCGGTGGTGACGGGAGCGGCGGCGGCGGCGGCAGTGGTGGTGGTGGTGGCAGCGGCGGCGGCAGCGGCGACCGGCCCAGGCGAAGAGGGGGCCGTGGTTGAGGCACCGCTGGGCGAGGAGGGCGGCGAGCCGGAAGGAGACCTCTTCTGGAAGTGGCGGGCCATCGCTGAAAGAGCAAGCGGTCAAGTAGGGGAGAGAGGAAGAACGAGAGGAAGAACGAGAGAGGAGGAGATGCCAGGAAGAAGGGCGGCATGGGGGAAAACAAGGACAGGCGAATAGTCGAGTCAGCAACGCGAGAGACAAGGAGAACGGGAATGAACAAAGGGCCGGACGCACCCTCATCCACGGCGTCGGACACGCGGTCCTCCAGAGCCTGGCGCTCGTCATGGAAGTCCGCATCGAGGAAGGTCTTCTTCATGGCCTCCTGCCGGGCGGCCTCACGCGCCAGATGCTCCACATCGACCGACAGAACGTCGGCTCCGGCCCCGGTGGGGGCACTGTTGCGGGCGATCTCTAGCGCGCGCGCAACCTGCGCTGCCTCGCGTTGCTGGCGCTCACGCTCCAGTGCGGCCAGGATTTCGGCACGCTCGCGCCGGCTGTGCACATGAGGATCGAGAGGGGCGGCGGGGGGGGGGGGGGGGGGGGGGGGCAGGAGGGGCGATATGTGAGTTGGGCAGTCGTCTTTTTCTCCTTCGCGACAAAGGACGAAAGCATCAAGGCGTGTGCAGGCAGGCAGGAGAGCACGACTGAGGAAGGAGCGGGTGGGCGGGCACGTACGCCTGCTCATTGCGAATGTCGCCGAGACGCCGGCCTGACAGGTCGCGGCAGGCATCGAAGTTGGTGGTGGCCTTGGAGGCCATCTTGCCACCCTGGCTGCGGAGCATGCTACCGAAGCCACCCTTGCCACCGATGGCACAGGGGACCAGGGAGACGGTCCCGGCAGGGAGGGCGGATGCTGCGCCACGCAGGGCCAGATAGGCTTGCCGGCGAGACGCCGGACCGGCCGCCAGATCCAGGCTCATGGCCTGCTGACCGGCGGCCGATGCCCGAAGCAGATGCGAGAGCGGCCGACCGGTGGCGGGGCAGCAGAGGCGCATGCGCTCAGGCCCGAGCCCGACCCCGGACTCCAGGCAGGCCGCCATCAGGGCCTCCTCGTCCAGAAGAGCCTCCAGCTGGCGGAAAGTAGTGACCTCGTCCAGGCCGGCGGGCAGCAGGGGAGTGGGCGACATGTGTGTGTGCGTGCGTGCGTGCGTGCGTGCGTGCGTGCGTGCGTGCGTGTGCGTGGATGTGTGGCTTCGGAAGGGGGAGGAGAAAGGAGGGAGGGGGAGGGGCGAGAGTAGGGGAGGGAGCAGATGAGCTACCCTGCGCCTGACGGCAGCCAGCGGAGTTACCCTGCCGAAAAGCCTTGCCGGCGGCCATTGCGCGTGCAAGGACACCCGGAGAAAGTCGGAGAACTTACCCGTACATGCCCCTCCCCCCGCCCCCTCTGGGCAGGCGTGTGTGCGGCGCCCCGCCGGAGACGCCACAACCGGCCCGGGGGGGGGGGGGGCGCGGAGGGAGCTCGATCGCCCCACGGTACAGCTACATCGGCGTGATGTGCGCGTGATCATCGCGCCTTGAAACAATCGCCCAAGCAGATCCCA